CTGGGGGGGGGTCGGGGGGATTGGGGGGACCCCGCTGACCCCCCCATGTCCCCCCCAGGGCCGTGGGGACGTTTGCCCGGGCGCTGGACTGCAGCAGCTCCATCCGCCAGCCCAGCCTGCACATGAGCGCGGCCGCGGCCTCGCGGGACATCACCCTGGTAAAGGGGGGCCCCCAGCACCCCAAAACCTCCCTTGGAGCCCCCAGTTCCCATTGGGAGACCCCAAAACCTCCCTTGGAGCCCTCAGTTCCCATTGAGGGACACCAAACCTCTCTTAGAGCCCTCAGTTCCCACTAGGAGACCCCAAAACTTCCTTAGAACCCCCCCATTTCCCACTGGCATACCCTAAAACCTCCCTTAGAACCTCTCAGTTATCACTGGGAGACCCCAAATTTTCCTTCGAGCCTTCAGTTCCCATTGGGAGACCCCAAAACTTCCTTAGAACCCCCCCCATTTCCCACTGACGTACCCTAAAACCTGCCTTGGAGCCCTCAATTCCCACTGGAATACCCCAAAATCTCTTTTAGATCTCTCACTTCCAACTAGGAGACCCCAAAACTTCCTTAGAAGCCATCCATTTACTGCTGGGATACCCCAAAACCTCCTCAGAGCGCCCCGTTTTCCACTGGGAGACCCCAAAACTTCCTTAGAACTCCTTATGTGTCATTGGGACACCCAAAAACCTTTTTAGATCTCACATTTGCCAATTCAGACACTTTAAAAGTGCTTAGAGTTCTTCGTTTTCTACTGAGACATCCCAAAAACCTTTTCAGAGCCTTTCAGTTTCAACTGAAACACCCCAAAAACTTCTTTAGAACTTCTCATTTCCCTCTCAGAAACCCCAAAATCTGCTTAGAGCTTTCCCAGGACTTCCAACACCTCCCTTACATGACCCCAACACTCTTCTGAGATACCCCAAATCTTCATTAGACCCCCCAAACTCTGCATTAGAGCCCTCCCAGTGCCCCCAGTATGTCCCATTGTCCCCAGTTCCACGCCATGGACACGCTGCAGAGGAATGGCTGTGACCCCCCCACGCTGGTGCCACAGGGGGGCCCTGAAACCCCCCCAAACCTGCCCCAAAACCCCCCTTAGAGCCCTCCCAGTGCTCCCAGTACGTGCCATTGTCCCCAGTTCCACGCCATGGACACGCTGCAGAGGAATGGCTGTGCCCCCCCCACGCTGGTGCCACAGGGGGGCCCTGAAACCCCTAAAACCCCCCAAACCTGCCCCAAAACCCCCCTTAGAGCCCTCCCAGTGCCCCCAGTACTCCCAGTATGTGCCATTGTCCCCAGTTCCACGCCATGGACACGCTGCAGAGGAATGGCTACGACCTGGCACGGGCCATGGCCACGCTGGTGCCGCAGGGGGGGCCGGTGCTGTGCCGGGATGAGATGGAGGAGTGGTCGGCCTCCGAGGCCATGCTCTTCGAGGAGGCCCTGGAGAAATACGGCAAGGACTTCAACGACATCCGGCAGGACTTTGTGAGTGGAGGGGGGGGGGGGGCCCCTTTTTGGGGGTCCTGGGGGGTCCTGGGGCGTTAATTATCGATATCCCCGTTAATTAGCCACAGCCCGTTAATTGCCGATATCCCCGTTAATTGCTGATATCCCGTTAATTACCTACATCACGTTAATTGGGGGGGGGTTCCCATTAATTGGGTGGGTTCCCATTAATTACCCGCACCCCTTTAATTGGGGGGGAATCCGTTAATTGGGGGGGGGGTCCCGTTAATCACTCGCACCCCGTTAATTGGGGGGGTCCCGTTAATTCCGGCTGCCCTGTTAATTCCTTAATTACCCATTCCCCGTTAATTAACGTTCTTCCCCGCTGGGGGGGGGGGGGGGGGGAGCCCCTTTTTGGGGGTCCTGGGTGGTCCTGGGGGGCTCGGGGATCTCTCTGAGCCCGGGGTTGGGTGTGCTCGCAGCTGCCCTGGAAGTCGCTGGCCAGCATTGTCCAGTTCTACTACATGTGGAAAACCACTGACCGCTACATCCAGCAGGTACGGGCTGGGCAGGGGGCTCGGGGGGCTCAAATGGGGGGTTTGGGGG